ATTTGTGTTATTTAACATATTTAATTATTGCAGGTTTACGTCATAATCTGAGTTTGCATTTCACTGTTTTAATTCATTTTGATGAATACTAAATCTGTTTTTTTGTGAGTGGGATGAATTACTGCAGTGCACATTCACATTTAGTCTAGAACTACAGTAACATCATGTTCACACAGCGCACACAACGCCTCTGTACTTCCGATTTCTCCCAATATGGGGACAGGAGACTTGTCAGTCAATAAATGGGAAAACAAAGTAACTGGCATTACTTTTTTGAAAAAGTAACTCAGATATTTTCTTGTAAATTAAAAAAGTAATGCGTTACTTTACTAGTTACTAGTACTTTACTTTACTACTTGAAAAAAGTAATCTGATTACATAACTCGCGTTACTTGTAATGCGTTACCCCCAACACTGCTGTTGACACTCCCGAAACCTTCTAGTGTGCTTATGATTTATTGGTAGCTTGTAATTATTTTCATATATTTATAGCTTTAAAGGAATAGTTTTAACAAAAATAAAAGGGGGGGCCATTCACACAGAACACATTTTTTTCTATGAAAAATTCAAGACATGGGCAGTGGAATGGGGAAAAACGCAAGGCCTCAAGACCGTTTTTTTAAAAGTTAACTTGCTTTAAAGGAGACATATTATGCCCCTTTTTACAATATGTAATATAAGTCTCTGGTGTCCCCAGAATGTGTCTGTAAAGTTTCAGCTCAAAATACCCCAAAGATCCATTTATTATATCATTTTGAAAATGCCTATTTTGAGTGGAAACGCTGTTTTTCGTGCCTGTCTCTTTAAATGCAAATGAGCTGCTGCTCCCTGCCCTCTTTTCCAGAATAGAGCTGCGCCATTACATCTCGGACCTGCTAAAAAAACATCTGTTTTGGTTCTGATTATCATGTTTATCACGTTGAAATCATGCGTTTTAAACCATATGAGTTTAAACTTCTGATATACGGTTTTCTGAGAGCACACATCCGAAGCACACGGACAGAAAGCGGCTGTCACACGTCATGTGAGTACTAAGTACTTAACTAAGTTTTCATTCACACACAAGTTTCCGTTAAAAACACACGAGTTACAAAAACAGTCGGTTATGTCTGTGAAGGTAAACACCTGGAAAATATATCGCATGTTTATTTTAGATCTGTGTGGCAGCAGCAATATACAGTAAATAAATCAATAAATCCACTGCTCTCTTGTCTCCTCTGAGGTTGGGACTCTAAAGTGTTCTGTGCTCGTCTGTGCAGCCAAAGACAGAACAGTTAGCATGTTTTGCTCAAACTTTCGCCATGGCATTAGAACTGGTACACCGTTGTCGCTTGCGAAATCAAAAAGACGGCGCCGTGGGTGTAAACTTACAGATTAAGGGGTGGTAATATTATAATGAGATCCCTTTGCAACGTCACTAGGGGAGCTAAATCAGACGCGCTCATTTTTTCAGATGCTTGCAGAAAAAGGCTTATCAAAACAAAATTACTGGATTATTCTTTTTCACGTTTCTTTGATTGGTAGATGCACAGGGGACCTGATTATAGCACTTGAAACCTGGAAAAGTCAGATTTTCATGATATGTCACCTTTAACTTAAGTAAAGTAGTGTGTTTTTGCCGAGACACATCAGAAGTCTTAAGATGCAAGCGCAACATATATTTTAGTTTGGTTCTTGTACTATAGCAAATTAATGTGTGGACCACTTTCACGATACTGTTATGGAGTATTTTTGGCGTTTGACAGACCAAGTTCCCATTTTGTGAGTGTGTTCCACAGATGAATGAAAGTCATATGTTTGGACTGAGTGACATGAAGGTGAGTAAATAATGACAGATCTTCATTTCAGGCAAACTATTCCTTTAAGATTGAGAGGTTTTGCACAGGTGTCTCTGTGAATCCGGTGCAAATCTTCTCGAGTCAGTTATGGGGTGGATTTTTATGCTTATTTGTAAGCATTCCACCTCATGCTTCAGTGATGTGAGAAGAGGAGAGATGACATGTGGGGTTAGTTTCTACAGGAGAGGACAAGGATGAAAGTGAGAGAAAGAGACAAAACAAGGACATGAGAGAGACTTTGAAGATGAAATGAATTGGCCTTGTGCCCTTGCAGACTGTATTTCATATTTTCAATGCATTTCAATTTTTTTTTACTCTCAATCCATCAAGAAGATTAATTTCAATTTTCGACAGGTTTGTGGAGGACGTCCTGACAGTGATGTTTTTTTCTTCAAAATAAGATAATCCTTATATGTGTGATGTGTGCAGTGAGAGAGGCCACACCCATATTTTTTGGCCACACCTCTGGCATGATTGAGAACAATTCTATATGAAGGTTGCTCTAGTGATGGCACACTCTCACTGGGGAAATCTCATGCATCACCTGTTTGTCTGTTTTCATTTGCAATCTTCTGCACAGAGAATCTTCTATCACTTTCACTCAAACTTAATTAAATACAAGGAGTGGAAAACCGGCCGTATTTTACCCCAAAATCAAAAGGAAAAAATAAGAATTAGCCTATATTTTGAAAGAAAATAAAGGACTATTACTTTTATTTTCATGTAAAATTGTCATTACTATAATGCATCTATTATAGTATTATAGTCCATTATAAATACTGTACTGTATTACAGTATTTATTTTACTTTATTACTGTAAAAATACTTTAATACAATGACTTGTTCTATTAAAATCAAAATAAAGGTTGTACAAACAGAATCAAATGTTAGAAATGGTTTACAGTTAAAATATCATAAAAAAAGAAATATTTTGTGGCTATTTTAGAACCATTATTATTATTGTTTTTTGCATTGTTTCTAAGTACACCCCTCCCCCACCACCAACAAATTCTTATTTCCATAATGCATCTGAATGTTTTACTTGTTTTTTTGTAATGATTTTTTTTTATGTTGGTTTGTTACCGTAGTAATTTTATATTTTTCAGAAAAAATAAAATGAATAAATAATAGAACTACCCTCTATAGTATTACTAACAGTGTACAATTTAATTTTGTTTCACATCATAGTATTAAACATATATTACAATAATGAGAATGTGCAAGTGTGAGGAGGGTGGATTAATATTCTCATAAAATAGGTTTTCTTGTCTTTTTACAAATATATAAAAAAATTATTATTTTAAGTTTATTTATTAATTCGTTATTTTGGGGTAAAACATGACTTCCCCTTATTTTGCGATTTTATTTTATTTTTTATTTTTGTTGGGTCGGGGTCCACAATATGATTTTCATCATTTAATTTCATCATTTCAATAGTAAATGCATCGAAATGTGACAACTTGTTACTTTTGGAACATATGGAGAAAGAAAGGCAAAAAAACAAAAACAGACTCAATAACCACAACACAAGAGCTTACTTTCAAACGCTTTCATTATTTTCTCCATATAACTCAAAAAGAAACAGACCCCCAGGAAAAGTAAAGACCTGAATGATAGAGGAAGAGAAAGAGAGAGATAAAAGAACTGGGCATGCTTGGGCATGCTATAGGCGCATAGGGTGACTGATACATCCAGGTCAAACGGTACAAGAGCCGGCGGTGTGGGTCAACTGCAGCAACTTCCTGCTTCAAAGACCCTTTGGAATCCCACCATCCCCGTCACATACAGCCGTTGTGGTATCAAAGTGAGCCAGTCAGCGAGTTTGCAAACTTCTCGGACCAACTCAGGGACTCAAGTTGAGCAAATGTATGACTCCATACATTTGGGCCCCCAGCTTGCGTTCCTTTACATCAGCATAGTTGTCATTTGTACATTTCATTTTGTTGGTCTTGTTTTCTTTTTTTCGGCTGGATAGAGAAACGGGAGAAATTTGTGGAAGGAAGGGAGGTGGGCGAGAAAGGGATAGAGAGAGAGTACACAAACTGAATGAATCATTGCCAGGAGGACAGACTCAAGGGGGAAAGTACAAGCCCATACACACATGCTATAAAAACATCTCAATCTTTGCGTTCTGTTAGCTGGCTATAAAAAAATAAACAAAACACCTCTCTTTGATTGTTTGTTTCACTCGTTTTCGTTTCGTCTCAGATTTTGGGGCGGAAAGGCCGCTGGATGCCAGGACCAGCACTCGGACCACGGGTTCATCATTGGCAAACCCGATCAGACCTGTTTCACTATGTATCATGGCGTTGGCCAATAAAGTAACAGTTTTCAACACACTCATATAACAGTTTGTAAGTATGTTGGCGAATTAGTGGCGAATTTGTACGATCTCATTCGTAGGATTGTTACGCTCCTTTGAGGTGCGTTCTCATGGTGAAATTTTACCTACAAATGGTACGTTTTCGTACAAGTAAGATCCATACAAAATCACAAATTCGTACAATATCTTATATATTCGCATTAGAATGTGTTGAACAAGTCCAAATAAAATTTTGCAGTTTTTACGCTGCATCCAAAACGTACTAGCACACTTTTCCGTACGTTTTTTCCCGATAAGGTTATCTATACAAAACTAAAACATACGTTAGCATGCAACTTTGTTTTTTTTCTTTTACTTTTACAAAAACAAGGCAGGTGGCATTTTTCAGACGTCTTGCAAATAGCTAAAAAAGTGTTTTTTTTCCTTTTATCAATAAATATTTGTTTTTTGAAAGCAGCAGTTGGGAAAAAAAATGTTAACAGTCTCTTGAATGTCTGGTCGGGAACGCCAGCATCTCACGCAGCATGTGGCTTTCAGGTGTGCATGGTGAGGTCGGCAGGTGCTCGCATGTTCTGGTGATTTCATCAAAGAGAGTAAGGGGGCGCTGTAATGAGGATGACCTCACAGAATGTCATGTGCTAGCCCAATACAACATTCAAACAAAGTTTAAATAACATAATGCTGCAGAAAAGCTCAAACTTAGAAAAGTGCTTCCAAAGATCAAACCCATGCTACATCGTGTTGAATGTACAGTGTATAATCTTACATGCAGCCAGGACCTGTTTATAAAAAGATAAATGAGTCGAACTGTGTTATGATTTATTCTGCTGAAAAAAAAATTCCAAGTTTCATTTGGAGCAAGATTAATGATGAAGCCTTTTCAGATCGTATAACTTCTGGATCTGGGAATTTTTCCAAATGCATATAGGTCAGATTCGCCAGAGTACAAATGTTGCAGATGCTGAAACGCTGGTGGCGCTGTGTCTTTGTGATTACCAGACTTGAACTTTTACTAACCCACTTTGGTTGTACTTGTTTAGCCGACTTCTTTTCGACATATGCAACATTTTTAGGCAAATTCGAAGGTGTTTAGACATCAAAAAGCTTTGTAGACTCGTTTTAGGTCCATTGTAATTAATAATTAAGAAATGTCTTTAATTCTCATTTCAGGCCCACCATGACATTCTGGAGTCTGCTGGTAGTTTACGTACCACAAAGAAGGAAAATGGAGGTGTACAGGAAATGAGAGGAGCACTTGGCGTGTTATTCCAATGAGTGAAAAAAAACGAGGACATGGAAAAACATAAGCAATGCTTAGGAGAGGTGCGCGAGGGAGGCGGGTGGGGTTAGACAGGGGCCGTTTCCCATCACTTTGAACCTGTTGACATCATAGCTGTGTAACGCTGCCGTCACCCGAAAAGATGTTGATGGCGGTCGCCCTTCACCCTTACGCCACCTTGCACACCCTCCCTCACCAAAGCCACAGTTCAAATGAGTCCAACACCCAAACACAACCCAAACGAAAACCGAAAAAAGCCACCAGCACTGTCAAGAAAAAGGCAAGTAAGGAATATGAAATAAAAAAAGAGAAACAAGTATATCAATTTATAACATCATTAATGAGTGAATGAATACATAGGATAAAACTAGAAGTTCAAAAGGATGCTTGTAACAATTTCAGATAAAAAAAGAAAAGAAAAAGAAATTAAGAAATCAAAACGAGCTCTTTGGAGACAGAAAAGCAGACAGAACTGCTGAGCCCAGTTTTGTGTCGTTGCCTTCCTCCGTCCATGCTGTAACTTCAATAGAAGTACACTGGTCGTTTGTTTAAAAAACGGGCCGGAACCAGATCAGTTGTGATGACACTAGTATTGATTTCATAATAGTGTAGCTGGACAAGAGGAATTGATAGGCAATGCAGAGTTTAAATAAAAAAATGGACAAACAAAATGGCGACTCCAATGTTGAGCAAAATCACCATGACTACCAGAATAGAGTTGGAGCCCTGTTGAGTGAGAAAGAAAAAGGAGAAAGGTCAGTATTTGTTTATTCAGTGTGTTTTGTATAAACAAATATACAGCACTTATTTGCATGCTATGTTGTTTTAGAACTTGATTCACTAAAATAAATTATGCAAATCAGGTAAGAGTGCAAACATGCCCAAAAATCAGTTTTGAACACAATCTGCCTGGTGTAATTCCACAAGAATGACCCCGAGCGATTTCATTGGCTAAAATAACCTTTTAAAGGGTACTCATTTTAGTGCCTGATTAGAAATCTTACAAAATTGCTGTATGATGTATGTCGACTAAACTACATTATTATAATTAATAATAATAATTCCTTACATTTATATAGCGCTTTTCTGGGCACTCAAAGCACTTTACATAGAAGGGGGGAATCTCCTCAACCACCACCAGTTTGATATGATCATTAATGCCCAAAGAAACAGATAATTTCTCATTTTTTATGTTTTTGTACTTTTTTTCAAAATAATTACTTGGTGTACTAGGTAAGCATTTGGCAAGCTAATCACTTAGTGTACTTGTTTAGCATTTGAAGTTAGCTAACATTTGGCAAGCTGATCACTTAAGGTGTGTCCCAAATCACATATTTATGCACTATTCTATAACGTTTTATAGTATAAATAGTGTGAGTAGTGTGTTCACACTGAAAATTTAAAAATGAAAAACTTTAAATTGTACCCCAAAAATGACACTTTACTGCACTTCAAATACCCCCCAAAAACGAAGTGTGGAATGTTGAACACTTCATGCACTCAACTGTCGCAGTTTTAATTACGTAGCGAAGGGGGAGGGGCTATCAGGCTCTGTTTATGAATGACAAAATAACCTTATATAATTCATACACTACATGGTTGAGTACATAGTGAATAAGTACATAGTGTATAGTGGGTCACAAAGCAACAAGCCCCGTGAAGCCATGGTTTACAGTGAATTTATAACAGCCAAGGAGGTTTTAGGCACTCTGCTTCACGCCGGGCCTAACAACGTCCCAACGTTAGAAATTCACTGTAAACCACGGCTTCTTGAGGCTTATTGCTTTACAGTACTCTTCTGAACTAGCAGCCAAAAACAAATGCCTAAAATGTACTCAACTACCCTGTGTGTCTGGATATTAGTTGGCTATAGTGCTCTTCTCGATCTTAGTTGGTTGTGGGTGCACTGCAAATAGTTAACATTAAGTGCTGCAAGCAAATAGTACTCACTTTGTGTGAAAACACTGCTCTCTATTAACCTAATTTGCATAGAAAGGAGGCATGTTTGCGCTGATACAGGATGACAATTACTAAACTACCCATGCCGATATTCTAGCATGTTTTGCACCTGCTGAGTGACTTTGCGCTGAAGTATGACATGCTAAAATTGCGCAACTGTTATGTGAATTTGCTCCACAGTGTAGTAAGCAGTCAACATACTAAAGTCCTAGATTCACTGCAAAACACGTTTGGACTTTACAGTGCGTGATTAAAGAAAGCCGCATGATTATTCCATTCCCCTCGGCTCACCAGAGATACGGTATTATCTCAATGGAAATGAGAGTCTGTACTGCATTGTGCCAGCCCTCGTAAGGACCAACGTATTTGCAAAGAGCCGGGTTTGTCGAGCGCACTTTTTAATTGATGGGCTCATGTAAGTGTGTCTTGGACAATGTTTACAACCATTGAGGAGAGGGACACGCGCGCTGCACATGCAAGACACATGTGATGCATGAAATTAGGCTGTGACAAGCGAACCGGACACAGTAGTGTTAAGAAGACGCCGTGAGCGCTGATTTTGCGCAATGAATTAGGACAAGCGTATCTCATAGAGTCACATTTAGCGCATCTTCCTGTTGAGCAAACACATTTTGCTCTCCACAGTTGTTTTATTGTAGAGTCAGCCAGCTGTGCACTGTGTAGGGCCTGTTCTTCCTCCTCATGTGCTAAGCTAATCAGTTGTTTAGATATCTCCGGAACGCATAAATGTTGTTAAAAACATTGACAGCGTAAACGGGGCTAGCTATTGTGCGGATGTGTTTCTGTTTCATGTTAACCTGTCTTACACAAGTCTGCTGCATTGCTTGCCTCTCTGCGGCTACAAACATAAACCCCCTCCTTCCTAGAACTCACTCTTGTCGTTTGATTGGCCGCAACACGAGCAAGGCATAAGCTGTTCCCTAGCAACAGAGTGTGGGACAGCCAATGCAGGGCTGCGTTGTGGAAGGAGCCACTTTGCCAATTTGCTGTTACCAAGGTGTTCTTAGTGCAGCAAGAGATCGTAGGGCCGCTAGGCAGTGGAAGGGGCCAGTTTGAAGTGTGGATATGTGTCCAGGTTGTATGTCTCGGGCTGTTGTCAGGTCCTGTATTCCCTTGGGACTCCAAACACCTACGCTGTGTTTGTGGAGGTTATTCTTCCTACTCATGGGCTCTCAGGCACCGATGCATACTAAAACACCTGGTGCGTTTGCAGTCGATTAGAAATGTATTTGATCTATTTTGAAATTCTGTAATTGGATTTTATGATTCAACATTCAAATGTTTTATTGGACAAAATGTTTACTGAACTGTTAAGGTTGTGAAATATGTTTAAAATCAGGGGCACCGCTAAGGTTTCTGGGCCCCTTGAACAGCATATTGTCTCAGGCCCCCTTGGTAGAAATCGTGTTTGGGCCCCCTCTCCCTCCTCGGGCCTTTAGAATAGTCCCAAATTTTCCACCTGTTACGGTGCCCCTGTTTGAATTTATTTCTTAAGTTCAAGCAATAGTTCACCTGGAAATTAAGATTTGGTCACCATTTAGTCACCTCACGTTTTTCCAAAACCTGTGGGGATGTCCAATCTTGCACCTAGAGGGCCACTATCCTGCAGAGTTTAGCTTCAGTCCTAATCAAACACATCTAAACCAGCTCATCAAGGCCTTCAGGATTACTAGAAGCATCCAGGCAAGTGTGGCAGGTTGGAACTAAACACTTCAGGATATTGGCCCTTCAAGAGCAGAATTGAACACCCCTGCAAGTTTTTGTCATCTGTTTCTTACCCAGAGCTCATATAGGCCACTTTTACCAAACTTTTATGGTGTTTGGCATCCTTTTTAAAGCTTGCAAGCTTTATTGTAAATGTATTGAGTCTTTCTTATTTCTCTTTTTGTGCTGCACTGAAGAAAGTAAGTCATACGAGTTTGGACTGACATGAGGTTAAGTAAATGATACCAAAACTTTCAATTTTGGGGAAACCATTACTGTTTTCTGTGTAGTGCATCTTCACTTACCGAGTTCACTTTGAGCTGAGACTGATTCTCATCGTCGTGCTCTAGTGCAATAGGTGGGGATTTCTGTGGGGGTGAGAGTGTGAGGTCCCTACGGAGGGGCCGAGCCTCTAGCTTTTCCCCCACTCGTAGACTGTCCAACTTTCGCACTGAGTCCGGAGCCGGCCCCTCCTGTGCGTCCCTGGGCCCTGAGGCTTCCTGGACAACCTGTTCCCGGTCACGATTTTTACCCCGTCGCTGTAGTGTATGTCCACGGGACTCTGAGTGACTGTGCCACTCCTCCCCATGCCCATAGGGCTTTTGGGAGATATGGGAGTCCATTGGCTGCAACGGCCTCATCTCCATTTCGTAATTGCTCAGTTTTTCCTCATCCTGCTCTAAGAGACGGGAATGAGCCAAACTGTCTACATGTACCCGTTGAGATGTCCAGGAAGATGAGGGTCCGTCTGTCCTCCTTTCCCGTTGGGTTTTGTGATTCGAGGAACTGCGGTCTCGAGGCTTATGATTGGAGGAGTGCTTGTGGCCGTTGGCCCGTGCCGCCCCAACCCGTACCTCGTCTTGCACTGAAGGAGTTGTGGAGCGGCTGCTGCCCCGACTACCACCTCTACTACTGCCCCCACGGGAGGGACGCTTGTCCTCGCTCCAACTGTTAGCCCTCAGGTACTCTCCACCTCCACCCGAACCACCACCACCTCTCCCCTCCATCAGCACCTGTATCTCTTGTGTTCCTCCACGCTCCTCGTCCACTGCAGTTTGTCGCAGAAAGCGGGCGTTTTTGGTGCGGTGGGAAGATTTGGTGGTTGGGCTTCGGGGAGGCGTGGAGGGCCGACTGGGAGTGGGGCTCACGTCTGGGGTAAGGTCTGGGGGCGTGGAGCCCTTCATATAGAGCTCAGTGCTATCCGCGGTCCCACTAGAGATAACTTCCACGTCGTTCTCGCTCGAGTTCTGCTGTTTGGGTCGCCGGCACTCCACTCCTACACGGAGACAGAGAGACAAGTTTTAATTTTAAAACATGTAGGCATGCCACACACTTTAAATGTTGTACTTCTTTCTGCAAAGGGGGTGTATGGGATGGGAACATGCCCTTGCATAAGCTTCCATCTGTCTTAAAGTCCCCATGAAATCCAAATTAATTTTTTTTGGGTGTTAGTATCAATATGTTAGTCTTGAGACCAAAAAATGCAGATGAGCTGAAGGCCACTGTCAAAGAAACCTGGGCTTCCATACCACCACTTCAGTCTGTGTGCACTGAATTTATTTAATACACGAGTTTCACAATTTGAGTTGAATTACTGAAATAAATGAACTTTTCCACGACATTCTAATTTATTGAGATGCACCTGTATAGGAAAGAGCTGCAAGAAGATTCTTCAGGAATTCTCTTCCTGTGTTCCACAGAAAAAATATTTGGCTAGCAGGTTTAAAACAACATATGAGTGAGTTAATCATAACAGAATTAAAATCTTTGGGTGAGTTTTCCCCGTACAACCCTTGATTGCTTGAAGCACATGGGCCGTTCCTGGTAAGCTTGATACAGTGTAACTTGTCAAAGCTTTCCAGAGTCAGCACCATGGCTGCTCTAATCAGCTCAGCTAATGAGACCCAAAGATTTTCAAGTCTGTTTGCGCTACAGGCGCACATCCCTATGCACCCGTAAGTACATAACTTTCAACTTAACCTCATAAAGGCTTGTACTCCAACTGTAAACATCATTTACAAATCTGTTGCAAGTCAGCACATCTCAACCAAGTTTGTTTTAACATTTCTAAGGTCATCACATGGCATAACTTTATCATTTAGAAATATCAACCCTTCCAGGAGGTCGCATACACTGATCCAGCACAGCGTGAGTGCTTATAGCTCTCCTGTAAAGGGGTGTTGTGTGATGGAATGCGATCTGAGAGTGTATAAATTCTTGCAGATGTGTGGGGGTGTGACAGCGACCGAAAGTGTGACTGTGTATACAGTATGTGTGTTTATGTATGTGGGTGGTGTGAATATGTGTGTGTGGGTATTGTGTGTGCATGCATAAATTTCATTGTGTATGTCGGCTAGCTTCGCGTGGGCTTGTCGGAAAGGTCAGCGCTGACCTCCCCTCATCTTCTTATTGCCTCTTCTATCACTCATTCCCCCCGCATGGCACAGTAGGGGCATCGACCCCTACAGTCCTGAACCCATCCGGCACCTACACTCGCACACAAAGACGCTTTCACCGACACTCTGCCATTCTTCTCCTGAGCTATTACACACACACTTATATAAATCTACCTCTGACTGATTGCTAGTGCTGACATAAAATGATCAGCGCTAAATCATGCTCGTCTTCTTGAGAGTCAATGAAAAATATTAGCACCTTTTCAAATGACGGCAAGACTGTGTTTTCAAAGTGAACTTATTGGAATATTTAGCATTCACAGCTAACTGGAAAGCTTAGTCACACTGTCAAACAGTTTGAAGCCCCTGTTATTTTTAGTCTCCAGACTCGGCTGGTTGCACTCACTGTTTCCTCGGTGCTGGAAAGAGGGGGAGAACTCTTTGGCGGTGATCCGGGCCAGCCTGCAGTCTTCCTGGGCTTTCTGCGCTGCCGTCATCGCGGCATCGGCTTTCCCTCTGGCGTGAGCTGTCCTGTGGACGTAGCGGTCCGGGACAAAGATGTTGAAATGTGGAGAGAAAGACAGAGTTAGAAAAGGACAGGGCTTGTGGTCTTGCATTTAAGGTGAAGTGTGCAATTTATATACGCAGTATATATAGACAAAATTTGTAATAATTAGGTTAAATATTTTCTGAATAAATAAGCAAAAAAACTTTTTTGTTTATTTATCACAATAAGACCAGGGATATTTATTTTAAGTTACTGGTCTTATTGTAAATGAATAATCGATGCACATTTGTACTCTTAAAGGGATAGTTCACCCAAAAAAGAAAATTCTGTCATTAATTACCCTGATGTCGTTCCAAACCTGTAAGACCTTCATTCATCTTCAGACCACAAATGAAGGTATTTTTAATGAAATCCGAGAGCTTTCTGACCCTGCATAGACAGCAATGCAACTAACATGTTCAAGGCCCAGAAAGGTAGTATAGACATTGTTAAAATAGTCCATGTGACATCAGTGGTTCAACCTTAGTTTTATGAAGCTACAAGAGTACCTTTTGTGTGCAAAGAAAACAAAAATAACTCTAACTTTATTCAACAATTTCTTCTCTTCTGAGTCAGTCTTCGATGTGCATTCAAAAAGTATTCTAGTAGCTTCATAAAATTAAGGTTGAACAACTGATGTCACATGGACTATTTTAACAATGTCTATACTACCTTTCAGGGCCTTGAACGTGTCAGTTGCGTTGCTGTCTATGCAGGGTAAAAAAACTCTCGGATTTCATCACAAATATCCTAATTTGTGTTCCGAAGATAAACAAAGGCCTTATAGGTTTGGAACGACATGAGGGTGAGTAATTAATGACAGAATTTTCCTTCCTCTGAAAGGTTTTTATTTTTATTTTTCCAGATATTTAAGCATTGTTTCTCTCTCATTCAAGTTCTGGCTCCATTCTGGTTCGTAACACAAACTTGACATAATTTAATCAATATTTGATCTAGTTCCACAAAGTAATTTTTTTTTCTTGTGGAATAGGCCCATCTAGTTTTATTTAAAAATATATCACATTGCATGAAGTTTTACACTGAAATTTCTGTAATCCTATAGCAAAAGTATACTTTAATATAGGCCTATATCATTATAGTATTACCACATTATATGGATGGTGATTTGGTTGTTCAGTTTTAATTGGGAAAACCTTGCTCTATGAAGCAGACCACAGCAAAACGCACACGAGCATATGGTTTAGCCAATGAACAATCAAGTCATTAAATTTATAAGGCACATGCTTCAGCGCCTACCAAGATCTTGACACTCCGATTATCCAAGGGTTGGCGATAAATACAGGCTGAAGGCAAACAGCAGTCACACACCCTCACTCTGAGATGCTCTCGAGATTCCACAGAGTCATGCCTTTCTGACACTGTAATTCTCACTTGTTTCAACTCCATAAACTTGCCAAGACTCTACTTTGTGATCTGAAAACCAACTTTACTGCAGTTTAAATAACCATGTTCGAATGTAAATATCACATGCTGTCAAGTGGTTGCAGAACAGTTTATTGAAACTTCCTCCAGTGACTGTTGAGGGATTTTTTTTTTTTAAAGCTTTAGGCTAAACATTTTCTGAATAAATAATCAAAAGCCCAAAAATTTTACAATTATTCTCTACAATACACAAGTATTGTTCAATGTTTCCCGTTTTAATGAACATGTTAATAGGCAGATTATTCATGCAAATGGACCATATGAACACCAGGTAAGAGGATGCTCTCCCTTTCTCACTGAACTTTTTCCCCCGGTCTCATTCTCTCTCCTTGTTTGTGCAGTGGCTGTCTTGGTGCAGTATTGCATGTCGATGCTCATCGATTGCACCCTCTTCTTTTCTGCTCTAGGCTGTCTTCACCCAGCCAGCCAACCCAAGTGCATGTGTGTGTCTGAGTGTTTTAACATGAGAAGGTTTAAATGGGGTTGTAGCGTGTAGTGTGGTCAGAACATGTGGGTGAGAGAGCATTCGAGTGTGTGTGTGTGAGAGAGAGACGGTGAGATACGGCGAGGTAGGTCGGATGAAGAGATCTTAGGATTGCATTCACCCCATGCCTTGCCGGTTGTCCTGGCAACGGCAGAGGAGAGAAAGTGAGGGAGAGAATAAGATGGCTTGGGGTATAAAAAGGATAAACAATTAGATAACAGAGGAGAATGAGAGGAGGATTGTGGGATGCTTCTGGAGGTGTTGAGAGTACAGTCAGAGAGTGAGGGCTGGACGTAAGAAACCGTCCATTCACTAATAGAGGGCCTCTAAACGGTGTGTGTATCGTCTCACACACACACACACACACACACACACACACACACACACACACACACATACACACACTGATCCAGGTGCTGTGAGATTGGGTCGAGCTGTGCTGGTTGCCGCTCTATTTATATACTGCGAGAACGGTAGCAATGTTTCTACACACTTTCTGACGGAAACAGAGACTAAACATTGTTTGACAGCAAGTCTCGCTAACTCAGTACAGTTAAAGGGATAGTTCAGCCACAAATTAAAGTTGTGCCATTTATTCACCCTTGTATTGTTCCAAACCCGAATTACTTAATTTTTCATGCAGAACACAAATGGTGAAGTTTCTGAAGAATATCCTTGCTGCTCTTTTCCATATAATGAAAGTGGAAAAGTTTTTTTTTACATCTTGTTTTTCAGTTAAAATATTGCATTTACTTGAGAAGCAAAGTTGCAGAGAAGTTTTGTTTTCAGATAATTACTGTTCAAAGGTTTGGGAAGATTAAAAAAAAACTAACAACTTTTATTTGGCAAGGATGCATTAAATTGTTCGAAAATAATAGTTAAAAACATTTACATTATTCCAAAAGATTCTTATTTAAAATAAATGATTTTTTTTTTTTTAACTTTCTATTTATCAGAGAATCCTGGAAAAAAATGATCATGGTTTACACAAAAATATTAAGCAGCACAACTGTTTTTTTGGTATTAATAAGAAATGTTTCTTGCGCAGCAAATCAGCATATTATAATGATTTCTGAAGGATCATGTGACACTGAAGACTGGAATAATGATGCTGAAAATTCAGCTTTGATCACAGGAATAAATTACATTAAAATATACTGAAGTAGGAAACAGTAATTGTATTAATATCTCTTTGTTAAAACATTTACAAAAAACAAACCAATCTTACCAAACCTAAACCTAGTATATATCTTGAATTAGGTTTCTTCTTCATGCGTCAAAGTAATATTTAAAATGATAATATTCACTGAATTTAAATGTTAGAAAATTTCAGTTAAATATGGAAAGTGGCAAGTAGTGAAAATTAAGTTATTCACTCATTTTCCTCTCCATTGTATTGCTTTTTTCTCCATTCACTTTCATTACATAGAAAAAAATAGTAGCCAGGATATTTTTCAAAAATGTACTTTGTGTTCCGCTGAAGAAAGTACATCGTATGGGTTTTGTTTCAGCATTTTGGATCAAATGAATTTTCATGTGTGTGAACGTCCCCTTTAACACATTCATTTAACACTCATCCACGTGTAAACGCTCTCATCTTTCCCTGACGCTAACACAGATTCTCACTCTTTTTTTCTTCCGTCCTGCCTCTCGACACTCAGACACGTGCAGGCACCTCCCATCGGTTCTTTCACTCTCTTTCATACACGCAGAGCCCTGCCTCTCATTCACATTCTCCTACTCTCGTGTCTGTACTAAATGATCTGAACACCCTCTGTTCTTTTTTAAGCTCAAATTCACACATCCACAACCTACAGTACAACTGATCCATCAATTTCAAAAGATGGATCTTCCAGTCTCCTGAAACAGCATTTATAATGGAAAACAAGATTTTTCTTGCACTTCTGACATAAAAAGAGCTAATATATGCTAATATTCACAATCCAAAGCTCTTGCCCCAGTCCACCCAGACACAATGCCTTGGGAAAAGTTAAAGCATCAATGTCAATACAGCACAACAGTCTGCTAAATATTTCTCCTCAGAGAAATTAATTTTTAGCAATACAACATTCAAAAGTTTCAACACTGACCATGAACTCTGAGATTAAGGCAAGACACTACAGGTAAATATACATATAGATCTATACAAATATAGATTTTGGGCTATCTGGCTTTCCGTAATGTGTTGTTTCAGACTAGTGGAGAGAAAACATCCAATATACACTTTAAAGTGTTTCATGTTTAATACACTACATGTATTTGCATCTGTAGATATACTGTATATATTAATGTACCTTTAAAGACAGTTTTCTCAAAATGATTTTTCTCTCATGCACAAAGAGCCTAAAATCTCCACTTCGTTAGCACTTACATAGAACAAACTTTAGTTTTTTTTCTATCTATATGCTGAAGGTTCTTACAGTTTATAATTTGCTGATTGCTTTTCTTTAAAACATATTTTTTTCTGGATGTTGACAGTATTTTCTGATTTATCGAGTGATAAATTGGGAATTTCCAAATCTCCTTTGTAAAAACCTTTGACTCTAATATGTCGACAAAATGAAACAATAAGTTTAAACCTGACTTTATCAAATGTTCAGATTTCTGTTCTGGAAATGTGTGCAAATTACTGCATATTTAATTAGACAATACTCTTTTGCATATTTAATCATAGCATTATAAAAAATTATTATTATTATTATTTTTTTTTTAAAGTTTGCAATTTCTAATGTAATTAATTAAGTGGGGAAGTATGTATTTTTTTTGTTTATTTATTTATTTTTTACTAATTTTTCTTCCACCCTATTTATTGATGGAATCCACAAGTCAGTCTCTCTCTCTCTCTCTCTCTCTCCATACACACACACACACACTCTCACACACACACACACACTCTCACACACACACACACACACACACACACACTCTGTATATTTTACATGGTAGTGCTTTTATTGATTCTCTTACATCATTTGAAAAGATTCATAGGATGAGTAGTTAAGAAGTTTAGAATCACATGTTGTAATATCACACACACACACACACACACACACACAC